ATAAAAGGGCCTGCCTGTGGCTGTGACCCAAGGACTTTCCAATCTAGATTCTAGATTTGTGCCAAGAAACCCTTTAGAGACGTCCATTTTTCTTTTTCCTTTTAGTATCATTTAAGTATATATTATATTTATTTATTTACATATTTATGTTCAGATTTCCAAGGATGTTAAAGAAAAATGATGTATATTGTGATTGATTTACAACTGTATTGCTATTTAATTGCCATACTTTGAAATGTCTCTATATTGAGAGGTAACATAGTCAACATACAGATGACCGTCTTTTCATGCAGAAACACACACACAGACAGTCGTATGTAAATAGGATTATATTATACATGCCATTTTATCATGGACATCTTCTTTTGTCTTTTTGCCTAGTTTCATCTTCTTTTCTAATCACCTTAATCTCTAAGTTAGCCAGTCTTAAAAGCTTAATGTGTATCCATCCCACTTTTTTTATTGTACAATCACATACAAACTCATATATTCATATATTATGTTCAGCACATAGAATATAACCAAGTATTTAGAACAGTGTCTTGAACGTTATAGGTGCTCAATAAATATTTGTTGAATAAATGAATGGTTTGTCTTAGAAAACTGAGATCATATTATATATACGTGTGTGTATGTGTATATGTATGTTTATATTACGTATCTGGCTTTTATTGCTCAATATTCTATGTATTTTTTATATAGATTTAATTAATTCTTATAAATGGTTGTATAATAGCCCATGGTTATGAAAGTAACATCAATTTATTTAACTAGATCCCTAATTGATAGTTCAAATGCTTTTACTTTTTGCCAGTATAAACAATAATAGCTAACACCTATTGAGTGTTTACCATGTGCTAATTTTTTTTTTTTTTTTTTTTTTTGCACTTTACATGTATTAAGCTCTTGAGGGGTTAGGTTATTCTCCCCATTTTGAAAAACTGAGCAGGAGTATGTAAGAAACTTGCCGCAAGCTATATAGTCAATACGTGGCAAACTAGTCAGTATGGCTCCAAAGTATATTTCAGTAAACTACTTTTATAGAAGGTAATAAGCAACACTATTGTACAAACATTCTAATGAATGGTCTTTTATTTCTATTCAATAGTTTATCTGGTGTGGAATTACTGCAGAACCATATGTGTATATTTTATATTGCTAAATTGCTCTGCAAAAAGGCAGTAACAGTTTACATTTGCACTAGCCGTGTATGAGAGTATTTTTTCCTCCAGCAGTATTATTTTTAAAAATGTATGTTTATTATTTCTTTTCTTTTTTTTCAGTCTGGTGGGTGAGAAGTGATATTTCATTGTTAAGTCTGTATACTTGTTGACAGTAGTGAGGTTGAACATCATATGTTTGTCAATCATTTGGATATGCTCTACTATAAACTGTTGTATTAATTAGGGCTCTCCAGAGAAACAAAATGTATTAGGGCTCCCCAGAGAAACAAAACCTGTGTGTGTATGTAATTTATTTTTATTTATTTAAAAAAATTGGCTCGCATGTTTATGTTTATGGAGACTGGCAAGTCCAAAATCTGCAGGGTAGGCTGTCAGGTTGGGGACTCAAAGACGAGACAATACTACAATCCAAGTCCAAGGGACTTCTGCTGCAGAATTCTTCTTTCTCGGGAGAGGTCAACGTGTTTTCTCTATTCAGGTCTTCAACTGATTGGATGAGGACCACCCACAGTATAGAGGACAATCTGCCTTATTCAAAGTTCACTGATTTAAATGTTAATCCCATCTAAAAGTACTCTCACAGAAACATCCATAATATTGTAGGACCAAATATTGGGACAACATTACCCAGTCAAGTTTACACTTACAATTAACCATCATAAATAGCTACTAATATATTTTCCGTTTTTCTTTTTTTTCCCTTTTTTTTGAGATGGAGTCTTGCTCTGTCGCCCAGGCTGGAATGTAGAGGCTCACTGCAACCTCTACCTCTTGGATTCAAGCGATTCTCCTGCCTCTGCCTCCTTAGTAGCTGGGACTACAGGTATGTGCCACCATGCCCGGCTAATTTTTTGTATTTTTAGTGGAGATGGGGTTTCACCACGTTAGCCAGAATGGCCTCAATCTCCTGACCTCGTGATCCGCCTGCCTTGGCCTCCCAAAGTGCTGGGATTACAGGCATGAGCCACCGCTCTCGGCCTTTCCTTATTTTTCAATGGAATTGCTTACATCTTTTTATCACCTTGAATATTATTGTAATCAACCATTAAATGTTTTGTGAATATTTTGCCCCATCTCTCTTATATCCTTTATTTTTCGTATCCTATTTCTCATCATTTTAAATTTTAAATTATTATTTTGAATACTTTATAATCAGTGAATCACTGAAAATGAGATGAAAATTTGGACACTATCATTTTGATAATCACTTTTGAGTTTATAGTCTTTTAAGGTGATTTTAGGAGATTTTTCAATATTTAGTTTCAATATGTATTCAATAAATATTTACAGTATTTAGTTATTATTCAATATTTATTTAAAATTAAATTGTTCTTTCAATTCTAATGAATTTTTGGAAGATGTTGAAGTTAGATCTGCTCTTTTCCAAAGTAAGGAATCTAGAGCAAATAGTTCCCACATGTGGAAACTATTGTTTAGAGGTTTTAAAAGTTTAAACCATTCATATGTAATATTGTGGTTATAATGTTTAATTCTTATAACTAGTAGAATTAATTTCCGAATTGATTTATTCCATACCATGTTTATTTTAAAATTTTTCTTCAAAACTGCTTAAAACATATTCTAACAAAATTGTTGAAACATTGTCCTCATTCAATTTGACTGTCAATTTTAATTTTTAGTAAGTATACATATGTGCCATTCCTGCTTGTCAAGCCAAAATATGAAAATTCAGTTAATGAGTAACAGTATTTAAGCATCAGAGTCTGTTTTAAAACTGAAAATAAATGTATGTGTATTAAGGAAAAGCTTCAGCCTCTCAGTCTTACGCAATTATTTTTCTATTCATTTAATTTTTATATATTACTTCTTATAACTACTAGCATCAAATTAGTATCTTGCTATATTTTTATCTCATATTATCACAGAGGAAAAAGTACTGTATAATTATATATACTCTTCAGTATATGATTATTAGTAATTACAATATTTTTAAATTAGTGATTTTTGTTGCTGGATTTATTTTTTAGTAAAAGTTTTTATATCCTATATGTAAGATAACTCCCTGTTCCTGTGATATAACTTGTATTAGATTATTGGCTTCTGGAAGGCAAGTAACAGACTTTTTTTAAAAATTCACTTAACTTCCAATCATATATTGTTTTTATATTGTATTTTCAGTTGGTTGACAATGTGAGGGCTTTTGAATTAGGCAAGGGAAAGAATCATTTAATATTGAAATAACTTATTGCAGGAGCCTGATGAATCTTTTCCTTTGGAAAGCAGACAGGACAGTTTTAGTGTGGTGTCATCTATAATAGGAGGTCTAGAAGACCTTAGAGAATCTTAGAACTCAATTATTATCTATGTTTTTACACCCCTTTCAGTAATGATTTGGAAAAAAAATGTAAAAATTTCAAAAAGGGAAAGATGAACCCTGAGCTCTGCATAGTATGGTAATTAAAAGGTTGGGTTTTACAAACAGACTCAATATTGACAAGAAAAGGATGGGCGGGTTTTCATTTTCCCATCTCCATCATATCCTCAGTATTTCTCAAATAAGAGCAATACTAAGATTAAAAATATATATGTAAATGGGAATAAAAGCCTATGTAGAAAATTTTGCTAGAAAATAAAGGGCTTTTAACACAAATATTACTTCTAGACTATTCCCTCCCCTTCAACCCTATCAGTCCTCTTTCTAATACTTTTGAAGCTCCTAATGAATAGTAGCCCCCTGAAGCTACTAGGTCAAACTGCCTGGACTTGAAGACGGGCCTTCCACTTATTAGTGATTGAATTACTTAAAATAAGGATGATAAAAACCTGCTTCATGAGGTGTACTCTTCACTTTACAACTTTAACCTGTTGCTATTTGTTCTATTTTAGGGATTTATCATTATTTTTTGAGGAAATTAAAAGAACAAAGATAAAATCCCTGTCATTTATAAAATGCACAGGATAAAAGCAAAAAACCTTTGCTCTGTCGTTTGGGTTCTTCTGTCCATATGCAACAATCTGTTTCATACATGGATCTCATATATGAAAACCTAAATTTTTGTATAAGATACACGAGAGTGGATTTATCAGACAAACGTGTATTTCACTAATGCAAGGAATTTAACCTATCAAAGACTTTCCCTATTTGCTGCAGAAAATTTTAGAAATGCAAGCAATAAAATCAATAATTTTAAAAAATCTTGTCTTTGGCATGTCAAAGAACTTTTATACTTCTAAAAGTGTAGTTATTTGTAGTCAGTGATGAACCTCTCTACACACCTTAGCCCTACGCAATGTTGGGGGTAGAAAACAAGTAGAGATTTTGAGAAATCTTAGGCTAGTTGAAATACTTCAGAAACGTCAGAATGTTCAATTACCATCCCTCTGACTTAGAAAGAGAAATACCAACACTCGGGAAGATTACCATCAGAAACAACTTTGGAAAGTTTAATTTGGTCATTGTTTTTAAAATTATAAATAATGTAAATAAAGTACTGCAACAAAGCATTCTCACAATAAATAGCAGCTATTCCTGTCACTTCTTACAGCGGAGGCCCAATATACATTGTATTCTCATATTTGTACTTCCTCCCAACATCTACCGCATATTTGGCCAACATCTAAATTTTTATCGAAAGAATGAATGACATCAGTGACAGGCTGGCCGCACTCCGGTGGTCCAGTTTACCCCGTGAGGCCACGAGGAAACTGCGGATAAGACAGTGTCCAATTTGTCTATACCGCCTGCTAAACTACAAGTCCCAGCACGCAAACTCCATGGTTGCAATGCATACTGGGAGAAAGTCTCCAGCTCTTCATTGGCCACGTAGGAGAAGCTCCGGTGTGTGTAAAAGCGCGGGCTTTAACGCACGTACGCACGGAAAACTGCGCTGATCTCCTCGTCTGAGTTCCGCGGAACTCATTTTGAGTGTAGGCGTTTTAGCCGGTAGGATTTAGAACAGTTTCATTTCCGGCGTCACCGGAAGCAGCTTGAAAATGGCGTCTCCCTCGTTAGAGCGGCGAGAAAAAGGGGCTGGAAAAAGTGAATTTCGTAACCAGAAGCCAAAGCTGGAGAACCAAGGTGATGTTATGTGGGAACCGAAGGCTGGGGTTTGTGGACGTTGAGTTGCGATGTTTTTTTTTCCTCATTGCTTGTGTACTTATAAAACCACCTGGAGCCTGTACTGTGTATTTAAGTACCACAATAATCGCTGATAAGATTGTTGGCTGGGCCCACAGGAACGACTGGCCGATATGGTGCCACCCACGTGTTCCTAATTCATTGCTTTTGCTAAAGGGTCCCCAAAGCGAAGCCGTTGCTGAATACGTCTTCTGTAAAAGATTGAGTATTAAGAAAATGCCGAGGGCGCCGCGGAACCCTGTAGCTTGCGGGGACTGAAAGTCATTGACGGAATGAGGAACAGGGTGAGGTGGGAGCAGGTAGTTCTGATATACAGGAGTGAACCCTGATAATGGCGTGAGATATGGGGAAAGGAGCTATCTGACATGTCCTTAGCTCTAGTTTGTCAGTAAAGACATTTTGAAAGATTTATCAATTCCTGTTTGTCAAATTGCTAAAATACTAGACGACACAGCCCTTACTCTTTAGGTTGTGCTACCTTTTAATTGTTAACTCCTGCGTTGTAGTCTGGTTTTACCCGTTTTCTTCAGTATGAATGACAGAGAAGTCAGAAATAGCCTGGGGATCTGTTCAACCAGGCTCATAGGAAGTGTTAAAAACATTGAACTCTCAATTTAGATGCATTGGGAAAGTTTTCAAGGTTTCTTCGTTGTTGCTCATTAAATGATTATGTAACGTACATAGCAGAGGATACAACTTATATATAGTTTAATAAAACCATGCAAGAAACTAGCATTCAGACTGTTAAATAGAGCATTACCATACCCCTCAAACCCTTACGTGCACTTCTGAGATCATATTCTCTTTTCCTGTGTCACAAGTAACCACTCTGAATTGCGTTGCATTCTGTTCCTCTTCTTGTAGTCACGAAGTGGCTTAATTTTGCCTCTTTTTAAATTTTATATACATGAAAGTGGACCTTATGCATTTTTCTGTGTCTTAGATTTAGCTTTGTTTTTCAAACAGGGTGATACTTGTAGGTGTAGTTTTAGTTTTTTCACTGTTATGTGGTGTTTCCTTGTATGACTATACCCCAATTTTTTTTTTCATTTTACAATCGGTGGACATTTGGATTGTTCCTATTGCTTGCAATTATAAACAGTACTGCTAAAACATCTTTGTACATGTCTTCTGGTTAACATGTTCAAGGGTTTCTTTAGGTTGTGAACATAGGATTGGAATCACTGAAGTGTAGGGTGTGTGTAAGTAATGCTAACTTTTTTTACAAAGTGCTGGTGTCAATTTTGTTCCCACTAGCAGTGGACGAAAGTTCTCATTGCCTTACATTCATATGAATACATGGTGTTACCTGAATTTTGAATTTCTGTCATTTTGGTAGGTATGAAATGGGATCTGGTTGCAGTTTTAATTTGCATTTTCTGATCACCTATGAGGTTGCGTATATTTTCACATGTTTTGGGCCTTCCTTAATTGTGAAACTCCTGTGTATTTCTTTTGTCAATTTTTTTTTCTAAGATTGTAGTGGGGACTTTGAAAAAATTGATCCGTGGCCTTTGAAGTGTTTAAATTGGATAGGGACTTGGTCAGGGAAGCATTCATTGTAAGTAACCAGTTGCAGTAACTCACGCCTGTAATCCCAGCACTTTGGCAAGCTGAGGAGGGGGGATTGCTTGAGCCCAGGAGATGAGCCTGGGCAACATGGCAAAACCCTTTCCCTACCCCCCCCCCAAAAAAAATATAAAAATTAGCCAGACATTATGGCACACGCCTGTAGTACCAGCTACTTGCGAGGCTGAGGCAAGAGAATAGATCGCTTGAGTCCAGGAGGTCCAGGCTGCAGTGAGCTGGGATGGAGCCACTGCACTCCAGCCTGGGTGACAGAGCGAGGCCCTGTCTTAAAAAAAAAAATGTATATAGGCCGGGCGCGGTGGCTCAAGCCTGTAATCCCAGCACTTTGGGAGGCCGAGACGGGCGGATCACGAGGTCAGGAGATCGAGACCATCCTGGCTAACACGGTGAAACCCCGTCTCTACTAAAAAATACAAAAAAAAACTAGCCGGGCGAGGTGGTGGACGCCTGTAGTCCCAGCTACTCGGGAGGCTGAGGCAGGAGAATGGCGTGAACCCGGGAGGCGGAGCTTGCAGTGAGCTGAGATCTGGCCACTGCACTCCAGTCTGGGCGACAGAGTGAGACTCCGTCTCAAAAAAAAAAAATGTATATAATATATAAGTAATCACTTTTGTGGAATTTGTGTTCTTTAAAGGACATTGGAGAATCCTTTATATGAAGACTAGCCAATTGTCTGTGATTTGAACCAGAAATAGAAATAGAAAAGTGGATGTGAGTATAAGCAGAAAGTTTACCTGTCTGAGATTGATAACATAGGGTAATGCCCTGCTTTTCAAATTTTACTGTGCTTAAGAGTCTCCTGTTGAGCATGGTAAAACACAGACTTCTGTCCCTTGTCGAAGAGATTCTGATTCAGTAGGTCTGGAGTGGGGCCCAATAATTGCATTTCTGACAGACTTAACAGTTTATACTGATACTGAAAGTCTATGGAGCATACCTTTTAGTATAACTGAATTAGAGTATAGCTGTTGAATTTAAGGAGTTCTTAAAATTCAGTACCAAGTTTTTTAAATACATGATTCAGAAGATAATTTATGGCCCTTAGGCATTTTCTTGTAGTGAAAGGAGTCCCAGACTGAGTCAGCTTTGTGTTCCCTTAGGCAAGTCACTTAGCCTTTTCAGACTATCTTCTATAAAATGAGAATAATACAGATTCTACCTTTTATAGTTATGAAACGCACGTGGAAATAAGGCACTCAAAACGCTTAGGAAAATCTAGAATTACCCGAGATTATTAACTGAAAGATAAACTAGAATCCTCTTTCAGAAGTTGTATACAAACACACACACCCAGGTTCCATACACTCCAGGAAAGTCAGAAAGGTTAATTGTATTTAAAATACTAAACAAAATGGCATTGAGATCTTCAGTTTTATGGTAGTGTAATGCAGCACATGTTTCTGGAGTGCTCACTGTCTGTCTGGCATATGCCAATTGGCATGAAGAGGGATTCTGCTCTTAAGGAACTTTGTCTTATGAGGCAACTGAAGTGTGTACAGATAATTTTAATACAGTGAATTGATAATGACAGAGGAATGTTCTTCGACTCTTGAATAATATAAAAAGCAGGGAAAAGGAAATGCAAGAAGTACTGGAAGACTTATGAATATGTGCATAGGATGTTCATAAAGTGTCCAAAAGACAGTTAAAATGTGATATGTCAATTTTTTCCTTTCTGTAGATGAATCAGAACTCCTTACTGTTCCCGATGGCTGGAAGGAACCAGCTTTTTCCAAAGAGGACAATCCCAGAGGACTTTTGGAGAAGAGCAGTTTCTCAACTTTGTTCCCAAAATACAGAGAAGCTTACTTGAAAGAGTGTTGGCCATTGGTGCAGAAAGCCTTGAATGAACATGTATGTGTATCTTATAATAATACATTTATTTGAGACTTTGCTCTTGCTTATGCCTTTAAGTGTATGTATGCTGATGCATTTTTTTTTTTTAATGGTGCTAACATAGCTGGTTACTTTGGTTCCTTTGGTATTTTAAACTATTTAGGTACATTTTCTTATTACCTAATGTTCATTTGTTTTTAATTTTATGAGTAATAAATTACTTTGAAAAATTTGCCTACCTTTAATATTTTAGGAGCTTCACAACTGTCTTTCACCTGTGAAGTCTCAATTTCAGAATGCCTGCTCCAGGCCATGATAGTTGTCATGTATCTGTCCCAGTCTGAGCTGAGTCATGTTTCTAATTGGATTACTTTTCATCTTAAACGGAAGATGTGGATGTATCCAACTTTTCCTTGTTTATTGCTGATGCTATGCCCCTAGATAACTGCATTTTTTTTCCCCCAAACTGGGTATTGAAACCCATTAGTGTATTGAGAAGTCAATTTAATGGCTATAAGAAGCCTTTAGAAAATGACATATCACATGGTAAAAGTATGTTTTTTTCATATTGGCTTGTGTGTGTGTGTGTGTGTACATTTATTAGGTTGTGATATAAAATGTGTTTCTCACTGTGGGACTGCTCCGGAGTTGGTTGTGCCATTGTGGGTGAAGGTGGCTCAGCAAGCTGCAGGTTGTGTTTTATAGCTGCGTCTGGGATTGAGCTTTTTTTTTTTTTGTAAACTCATAGAGACCCAACCATATATTGAATTGTTCAACACTTAACTATGTTGAAATATTCTTGAGATTATGCTCACAAGTGAGAAAATAGCATTTTAATTTGCTTTGTTGAAATCTGTTTTTTCCTGTTGAAAGTTAATGCTTAAGTTTTCTAATCATTGCTTTTTTCTGAAACTATGTTAATTTGCTTTTACTTAGTATTTAGTCCCCTAATTAGCTAGAAAAAATGTTTGAAAGGGAAAGTCAATTCTTACCCAATGGAGCAGATGGTAGACTGGAGCTGGGTCCAGAATAGAAGCTGTACAGCTTTACATTTTTATCTTAGTCAGATTTTAAGTGTGACCCCATTTGTTTCATTTATAATTTTAAAATTAGAGGCAATCTATATTCCAGTGGGTACAAAGTATTCTAAAACCAAGTGTAAATGGTTTCAATTGCTCCAGTTTCTTATAGTCTGTAAAGTGTGAAAGTAATTGAGTATTCATTATTTATACTTAACTACCTAGCTTCTTCAGGGAAGTAATTGATAGGAATTGAGAGGTGACAGAAATTAATAGGTTGGTTAGGATAGGCTTTACATTTATCTAAAAATAAACTCATTTTTAGACAACTGCTTGTTTGCTCTTTCCTTTTGTAGCATGTTAATGCAACCCTGGACCTGATCGAAGGCAGCATGACTGTCTGTACTACAAAGAAGACTTTTGATCCATATATCATCATTAGGGCAAGAGATCTGATAAAACTGTTAGCAAGGAGTGTTTCATTTGAACAGGTATATCTAAAATTACAGAGACTTTGCTTTGTTTGCATCAGTGTTAACCTGTAACATCCTATCTTTTCCTCCTTCCACCATCAAGTTTTCGCATTTGTGCTTAGATAACAATAGCATGAGCTTGGAAAATAAATGTAATTGTAAAAAATGTTGATAATGTCTGTTTTTTTTTGTTTTGTTTTGTTTTTTTTTGCAAAAGGCAGTACGAATTCTTCAGGATGATGTTGCATGTGACATCATTAAAATAGGTTCTTTAGTAAGGAATAAAGAGAGATTTGTAAAACGAAGACAACGGCTTATTGGTCCCAAAGGATCTACATTGAAGGTATTTTTTTATTAGTGGAAAACTTGAGTGTCTCCCTTAATAATTTTTCAGAGTAATGAATTTTAACCTGATCTCTTGATACAGGCATTGGAACTCTTAACTAACTGTTACATTATGGTTCAGGGAAACACAGTTTCAGCCATTGGACCTTTTAGTGGCTTAAAAGAGGTGAGAACTATGTATTATCTTCAATTCATTTTCAGCAGAGAACAAATAAGTTGGTTATAATATAGTTTATTGGATAATGCTTTATAATTTTATTTTTTTAGAATGTGCTTTGATTTCCCATTAGTAAATACTTTTTATGTCATATAATTTAAGGGAATCATCATTTCTGGACCCTAACATGTTTTGGCCAACCTTGGCAACTATGGAGACATCCATTTCTGAATTAGAAGGTCCGCACACTATTACTCCTCCCACTATAACATTTAAATGAGCATTTAAGATCTTCAGTCTGTAGCATATACGAAAAACATGGAATAGTCACATATGCCCAAATGATGGGAAAATTGAGCAAAAATCCAGTTATTTGCAGTAGTGTATACAGCCAGTAGAGGTCACACTCTGAAAACTTTTCTTCAAGATGTATTTTCTTTTGTTTGAATTTTAGTATAATGTTTAATAACTTTTCATGAACATTTTCTTTAACTTTTTAAATTAAATGTGAGAAAATCTGTGGAGCAAATGCTATTTCTTTTAACTCCTTTTGGTACTATTACTGTCTGGATCTGGCTTGTGAGGTTGTGCTTCCTTTCCAGGGCCTTTAATAGTAATCCTGTTGGCCCTTTTTGTCATAAATTGTCTGCTCTTTTCTCATGGAGCAATAATTAAGTATATTGAATACTTTAGTTTTATAAAGTCTTTAAAATATTTAATTCTTACAATAGAGTCTTGAGGTATATGATTTTATCTTTATATTACAAATGAGAAAGCTGGAACAGGAAAGTGACCTTCCTGTATGCAGTGGCAGTCCTTGTATTCCAGCCCTCTTCTTCCTAAATCACGTTGCTATACAGTGTTGTACTAGTTCTCTGTGCTACATTTTAGCAGTAATTGAGAAACTGTATTGTATTCAAGGGAGGTTTGACTGCCTCTATGAAAGATCTAGATTAATTATTTAATTAAATTATTTAATTTGATACCCATTACCTGATTAGATATTTTGCAGTATTTATCCTCTCCCCCATAGCTCATTAAAATCCTTGTGACTAATTCATTTTTCTTTGCAAATTTCAGGTTAGAAAAGTAGTCCTAGATACTATGAAGAATATTCATCCAATTTATAACATTAAAGTGAGTGGTAATTCTATGTAACTGTACCAGTGATTATCATACTTCTTTTAGCTACAGAATCCTTTCTTGAAATTAAATATTTTATGAAATTCTAATGCACAAACAGATAAAGCAGAGCTATTTTGGGTAAATTAGGGGTAGAATTCAGCCTACTTAACTCTACCCCAGTTTTGTAGGTACTTCTTGGAAGCTCTCTATGGAGCACAGTGTGGAAACTACTGAAGGGGATAGTGTGTAATGTGTTATATAGTTCTAATCAATGAAAATAAGCTTCACAGAATTTGTTGTAGATCATATCAGTGCAGTTTTCTTAGATTATGCACCCATATATTTAAAGATACGATCTTTCAGAATTCTGCCTTTTTCTATTAAAATCTGGAATATCTCATGTTGCATTAAAACCTTTTTTTGAATTTAACACTCAAATTGTTGCCCCTTTGAGAGAGATCCATTATATCCCAGTGTGCACAAAGTTTGATTATTCTTGGAAATGTAACCATGGTATATAGAACTATTTTATGATGGGTTTGTTGAGCAATCCACTTAAATTTGATGAACTTAAGTTATGAAGTCACTGTTAGATAAGGGGGAAAGTGATTTTGAGTTACATTGGGATATTGCAGATAAAAACAAAGCTATATGTCTGATCCCTGGTTTGTATCCTCTGATGTTCCAAGGTCTAAAATTTAAATGGAATAGGGAAATGTGAAAGTATTGGTTTTCTGTAATCATGAGAAAGTTTACTTTTGTCTTTTTCTATGATATTTCAATTGCTACTGAAAACTTCCTGTTTGCAGGGAATATCAGCTAATTAAGAACCCTCCCGGCTTTTATAAGTTGACTTTTAAATGTTTTAATGAAATAATAGTTGAAAAGTCAGTTTTATTTTCATCTCATTTTAACAATTCTGCATTTTGTAATTAAATTACTAATGGTTTTCTAATAATTATACATGTTTGTGATAACTTATCTTTTTCCTTATGTGGTTGGTTTAATTTCACCAAAGAAACTAGAAACTGTTTCTTTTATTATTTATAGAAGCAGTATTTATGTCTGAGTTTGATAAATGTGTGACTTTGGAAAGTAAAAATTTTTACTTTGTTGCATGACTGAAGAGCTTAATGATTAAGAGAGAGCTGGCAAAAGATTCTGAATTACGATCACAAAGTTGGGAGAGATTTTTGCCGCAGTTCAAACATAAAAATGTGAATAAACGCAAGGAACCAAAGAAAAAAACTGTTAAGAAAGAATATACGCCATTCCCACCACCACAGCCAGAAAGTCAGGTTAGTACTAAATGTTGAACTTTATATGAAGGGGAATCTATTTTAGTATATTTGGTCGGAAACTTTATTGAAGGTTATTTCAGGTGGGATATGTATATATATATATTGCATGTGTGTGTGCAGAACTATAAGAAACTGAGGGTAAATATAAATAGGTATATTTTGAGCTGCGTGCATGGGGGTGTGCAGTGGGGCCTTCACATTGATTATAAACTGCATTCAGGCGGTTTGTGTCCCTGTAGCCACTGTAAATGTTCCATGGATAAAAGTTGAACAATTTAGTCTGCAGTACTCTTTCCTCTGCTTTGGCAACATTCTTGTGACTGTATGCTCTGTGATTGTTCTAGTTCTGAAATCTTAAATTGTAACACCCACCGTTTTTCTAAGTTATGATTCCTTTCCATTTTGTCAACTATCTTCTGCTTCATTTCCTTTCCCACCATGACCAGTTGCCATTTTGTTCTTGCACATCATTGTTTTGATTCATGCCCCTTTTTAGTTCTGTCACACCTCAGCAAAACTCTGAAACTTGGATCAGTCTAAAAACTTGTCTTCCCTATAACGTGGCTACCAAATTAGGTTAGAGAAAGTTTTATCTTTGGATTAAATTCATTCAGAATTCATGTTTCCTCTTAATTCTCTCAGTGCCCTTCCACGTTTAGCAGATGACTTTGCATTTTATTGAAATATTTGAGACCACCAGATAAGAACCCCTTTCTGTTTCCTCTTCTCTCATGTCTGTGTTTTCTTCCACCTGCATCAGCCTTTTCTATGTGTTCTTTGAATTCCATCTTCACCTACTCCTGGGGGTTCTTGCTTCATTATTCCCTTCCTTGGCTATATCCTAAAGCCTTCCCTTTCTACTTCTGCTCAGCGTGTGAACTCACTGATTTCTATGTCTCTTTTTTCCACAACCATGTTTGGAGTCTTTCAGGAAAGATTTGATGATTGATGGGAAAAATGATGATCATAGTGAAAAAACAATGGAAGTGTTGGATCATGGAGGAAATTGATAGTAGTTGCAGGGAAAGGGGAGTGAGGCAGTCATTAAACCATGCTTCCGTAACAGCAGCCTTACTTCTTATGACCCTTTCTTGGAGTTAATTGACTTATCTTTCTTCCTTAGCTGTGTAAGCTTCTTGAAACAGTGATGTCTCGATTGTCTTGTTCTTACTTATTCATTATGTGACTGGGCAAGTTATTTATCCCATCCGTACTTAAGTTTCCCCATACCTAAAATGGGAGTAATGATAATACCTGTCTTAAAGAATCGTTAATGAGGATTAGATGAATAATTGTAAAGAGCTTAGAACAGTGCCTTAGATATAATAATGCTGTATAAGTGGCAGACAAGTCGGTTATACACATTTTACATGTTGGCTGTATATTGAATGAACAAGCTGTTGCTTTTGCTAATTAGTCACCAATTCCTGATCGTTCTGGCTTTTATTCTGCATGCCACTACGTTTATTCCAGGTTCTCATCTATTCCTCATTCCTCTCCATTAACATTGTGCTTTGGTCTTTTCAGTCTTCTCGGAAACCCACAGTCATTTCTAAATCTTATCCCTCCTAGTTTGTCTGCCATTGAAGCTTCTTCAAATTTTCCCAAAACTCACTCTCCAGTTTCTTCTCACACTTTCCATACTGTATCCCTGAACTCCTCTGGGTTGTATTCCATGGAGGTGCTTTCCTACCTCCACACTTTTGTGTGTGTATTCCCCTCAGCTTAGACTCTGCTTCCTTTATGTCACTACCATTTTTATTAATAAATCAGTTTGACCCCATTGTTTTTACCCTAAGGATATTGTGACTTGCTTAGGACCTGACTTCTCCTCTACATTATTTCTGATGTAATTGTAAATACTGTTTTCAACAGATTGATAAAGAATTGGCTAGTGGTGAATACTTCTTGAAAGCAAATCAGAAGAAGCGGCAGAAAATGGAAGCAATAAAGGTACTTTATGTCTAGCTCACAAGATTAATAGCAAAGTTCATAGATACTTGAATTATTTAACTATAAATACATTTAACTAATGTATTTATTTATTAACGTAGGCTAAACAAGCAGAAGCCATCAGTAAGAAACAAGAGGAAAGAAACAAAGCATTTATTCCACCTAAAGAAAAACCAATTGTGAAACCTAAGCAAGGTAATGCTTTCTGTGATGTAAAAGTCTTTATTAATTATGAAAAGTAAACCCATAGTGAATTTGTCTGAATCTCTTTAAGAAATAATCGTATATTTTCATCAGTTCTCTTAGCATTTCAGTAATTACTGATCCTAAGGACTTTAGAGGCAGCTAATGCCTATTTCAGTGCAAACTGGATTGACAGTCCTCTCCTGACCTCTGGTCTGTGCTCAGGAAAGACTCTTTGTTGTGAAAGATACAAACCCAGGGCAGCCAGTACGTCTTCTGTAGAAATGCAAGCAAGACGATCCCTGAGCTCTGCTGTCATGCCTCTCAAAGAGGAATTATCAGAAGTTGTACTTTTTCTTCTCTTTATGTGATTTTGGCTTCTATATTGGTAACATGGATTTCTCATCACTTTGGACTAAAGGACACTGACAGGTCTTATTCATGAGCTATTAGTGTGAAAGTGATTGTGGTTTTTAAATGGCAAAAACCACAATCACTTTCCCACTAACCTAATATTTAAAAGACACTAAGAGAAAACATTCTCATAACATTTCTAGTCTCATTCTGATGCATCCTCTCCTCTTCTGCATTTTTCCCCCCTGTGGTAGCACTTGTCCTCTTCCTAAAGTAACCCTCCAAAGTGAATAGTGACATTGAGGGGAGAGGGGCCCCCCAGCAATATTGTACAGACTTGGTCAGAAACAGATATAATACATTATTTAACATATTGCTTGTTAATAGTTTAAAAAATACTATGTTCTGTGGTAGATTATTGGTTATATAAAAGGTAAAAATGTCGTAAGTATTTTAATTTCCAGTTTGTACAACCTGTCAGTTGAGTGCTTTGAAGGTACTCAATAGCTAGTTAACCTAATGTAGTTTCTCCACACGGTGGAGGCTTTAACGCTCTGTGCTTCTCAGGTTGCTGGGTAGTTTGTACATTATGATGTTTTATCTTATGATTCTTTTTATGCTGTGATACTGTACTTTGAATAGTAAGAAAAAGTTGCATTCTTTTTCACTGCTTCCTTTCTCTGTTTTGCTCCGACTTCTGGCATTGATTAGTTAGTTGGGTCCTGTTAGGGGAACTTCCAAATATGCCCAAATTGTCTTTATTACCAGAATGTTGTTAAATACAGCAAACTCTTGTTAAATAGAATACTATTAGTCATTCATTGAATTAATATTTGGAAAACTTGTAAGTTTTTGTTTTGGTATTAGAGGAAGTAGATTTTGACCTCTAGCTTATGGTTAGCTGATTAAACTTACTGAGAAGGGATACATGTAATTTTAAATTATTTTAATGTGCAAGATGGAAAATAATGAGGACTCATAAGTTCCAAAATATGGAAAAGAATGTAGGTAAAATAATTTAGTCTGAAGTAGGATTTAAGGAAATAGTCTTAATATAGTTGAATCCAGTAATTGGTTCAATCAATCATGCCATTTTTATGTATTAAAGTATTTTATGATTTGTTTTATTAGTCTGAATAAATTTCTGACTCCTTTAGGCAGGTGTTCTTATATTTTATACTGTGATTTTTCAATTATAAGAGGACTCTGAAGTTATTGCTTTAAAATATATTCTTTGTTTTACTTGGTAACATCTAAAGTGTTACATGTATTGTGCTTTTAATTTGTCTAGCTTCTACTGAAACTAAAATTGATGTGGCCAGCATCAAGGAAAAGGTTAAGAAAGCAAAGAATAAGAAACTGGGAGCTCTTACAGCTGAAGAAATTGCGCTGAAGATGGAGGCAGATGAAAAGAAAAAGAAGAAAAAAAAGTAAAATATACCCCAAACTCCTTGACTAGAACTATCTCCTTTTGTAAAGGATTTTGAGATACCAGGCGTTAGTTGCCTCATTTGTGAGAAATTTTCTGAGGGTTTTGTTTTGGTGGTGGTTGTTCATAGAAGAGTGTTCTTTATAAATTATTATATTTTTGTGTGTTTTGAAAATTTTGTACTAGAAAGTGGTATATATGTCTTTGTATACATTACGACCATTGTGATTATCCATTAAATCCAGTGTCTGATGCCATTGGTTAGTCTTCAAATATAATGATGTCCCAGCATTTGATGCTCCCTTTAATGATAACAAATATTTAGGTTTATCCCTTTTGAAAATTTGGTTTTACTTTTAACAGTCCACATGAACAGAAAATTAAGGCCTCTAAAATCAGATCCCCTAGTTATTCCTCTGTTCTGAATCTGGGGAAGTGGTAAACCAGAAAGACATCACGTTGCAAGAGAACAGGGAAAACCAGATATTTAGAGTCGAAGCAGCATGCAAAACTGGAGTTACTAAGAATCATCTTAAAAAGTGCTACTGTACCTTGCTCATTTTGCAGATTTAGAAGCTGAAACATGGGTTAAGTTACTTACTGAAAGTCCACCTGTAGCAACCTGCAAACAATGCTTATTTATAGAAAAGTGGGAAGTAAAGATGAGTTTATATGATAGAGTTAAAGATGAGTTTATATGATAGAGTTAGGAAGTTTCTTCTTTTGAGTAAGAGTATGGCTGCAACATATTTTCTTTTCTGAAATGTTTTAAAATAGAAATACACCTAATTGTTATTCACTATTATTGGTTAAAAAAAAAAGCCATATTTGAATAAGGTTGATTTTTGGGTTTTTTCTTTCCTGGATTGTATTAGTCCAAAAGAACTAAATTAGGGTACTTGTGCTGTACCAAAATGGTAATTATAACAGACAGTATCATAATTACTGAATTAACAATGAGAAAGAGAGAAGTGTATCTGTTACGTGGATATATGGGCCAGCCTGGATACACAACAGAGTAGTAACCTGTGAAACAAACATAGAATATCCTCTTAGACATTGTTCGTCATAATGCACTGACAGAATTCACATAGCTCTTAATGAAACAATTTAAGATTGGTGTACATACGTTTGACTTGGTCTCGCTGTTGGTTAACTGTAAAGTTAGGGAGAAGAAAGAAAAAAAATTAAAAGGGTACATACAGGTGAGGGTTTTAAAAAACTAAATCTTTAATTGTAACCATTAACTGGCTTTGGCTTTGGCTTTATTGCAGTGACTATCCAAATTTATTCAAAATTTTTTGAACTGACTGAATTAACTTGGTATTTTTAAGTTGACTTTCTATATAAACTTTATAAACCTTTTATAGAAAGGAAACTATACCATTACCATAAATGGAAAATCACTTTACATATAACTAGCAGGTAATAAAATTTAAAAAATAAAAAATATTAGAAATAATGTGAGAAATTTATTAAAATATATTTCTAAAAATAAGTTCCTGAGAAGAGTGATACTGTTTATGATGAGTCCATAATAAAAAGACAGTGACCTCTCTTTCATCCAGTCTAATATGTCACTAACTCATCATTACGATGTTTGGCTATCAAGTCATTAATTAAACCCCTCCTTTCACTGAGCTTTATTCAAATTTTGACATTCAGAGCACTGGGAAGAAATAAATTCCACAACTGCCTTTAGCCTTCTGGCTACTTTCTTTTATGAAATAGAAACCTTTTCCACAGCAGTTCTGCAGCAGTCGCTAATAGATGCTCGTGGTAGAACCCATCAATCATCTGGTCCTTTGGGCACTTGTGAGCATCCCTGGTCTTCATACCTGTGAGTGGGCTTTGTCTGTGGTGAATTACTGTAAAGATGCTACCCTCACTTTTCTTGGCAATTATGTCCATGAAATCAAGAGTGTGATGTTCTAGTTATTTTTTCTTATATATATATTTTAAATGTTCAATATTCAACTATTGAAACAAATGTACATCTGTGAACTAGCTAAAATCATCTTATGTACCACTAGTATGCCCAGCACATTTTTAAAACAGTCCTGATTTGGCCTCCAAGGGTATTTATTGAATTACCAGCAGTATCTAGGAGACCACGAAGAAATTTATGCTCCAGTGCCAGCCATAATTTGTCTGAGGATGGCATCTGTTAAATAAGAGCTTTTATCCTCTAAATGGGTGATCCTTAAGTTTTTCAGTCACATCTTACTTATTCAGTATTAGTGCGAAGAGTAGAATACTTTCAAGTAAGCTTCAAGTTACATGAAAACAAATTACATAAATCTAACTTTGAGAATAGGAAATTAGTGACAAGATCAATCTGTAAGAGCACTTATCTGAAATAAATGAGTAACAAGTTTCACATCTTATAAACACAAGTTAGCATGTGTTTTCTCAAGAGTCCAAGGGTTTTCATTATTGGACTACAGCTTTAATCTTCTAAATGTTATTCCTCAAGATTAAAGATCATCTCAAGTTAGATCACCAAAGATCAAAAGCTAAAACCAGAAGTGTTTTTGTCATTGTGGTGGTGGTAGTATTACTAATTGCCTAGATTTTTAAAGGGAAACTTATTTTTTTCATTGGATTGTTTCATTGAAAAAATAGAAGCAGAAACTTGCCCAAAGTCACAGTGGTCGAACTGGAAATTGCACCGAAACTTGGCATACTGGTTCTAAAATCCAAAGTTTTAGCCCTTATGTATACTGGTTAACTTGGAAGGAAGAAATATATATATGTTTTGAAGGGCTACAGCAATGTGAAAGGAAGAATTCAGTGAATATATGTTGATACCTTGATATTAGCTGCATTGTGGCTACATGTTAACTGAGTTTTCTTCACAAGAGTGATATGAGTGAAATAAAGAATGGACTGGGAGAAAAATGGCTCAGAAAACTTTGCAAAAGTACTGTTGTGTGTAAAGATAAGTATTCAACATTAAATGGGAAGGAGAACAAGCAGTTTAATAGATAAAATTTTATAATTTTAGGCCTGGAAGGGACCTTAGAAAACATGTGAGCAATGGAACACTTTTTTCCAAACTAAATGTCATGCAGTGAAACTTGGCCCACTCTGTCCTTCCTCTATTCTAAGCACCCTACTCTAGCCCGGCTGCTCTGAGTTCAGTTAGTTACAAATATGGACACAAAAGTACCACAGGATTTGCACAGCTTAATAGAAGTTTCCCCTTCACACCATGGTAAAAATAAAAACATAGTGGGGTGGAAGGACTTGTATCTAGAACAAGAACCAGAAATAAACTCTTGGCCAATTACTAATATTTCAAAATCACAAAGCAAAATTTTGCTTGGATGTTTAGTAAAACATCCTTGAAAATTTACCTGCATGCAGGTTCTACACTTCTTCATTAAATGCTGTCTGGCTAATAAAAAGTGCCATGTTGCAGCTTTATTTTCATTTTTTGGAGATAGACCCTCACTGTGTCACCCAGGCTGGAGTGCAGTGGCACGATCTCTGCTCGCTGCAACCTCCACTTCCTGGGCTCAAGTGATTCTCCTGCCTCAGTAGCTGGGATTACAGGGGCCCACCACCACACCCAGCTAGTTTTTGTATTTTTAGTAGAGGGGGGTTTTACCATGTTGGCCAGGCTGGGCATGGTGGCATGGTAATCCCCGCTACTTGGGAGGCTGAGGCAGGAGGATCGCCTGAACCCGTGAGATGGAGGTTGCAGTGAGCTGAGATTGCACCATTGCACTCCAGCCTGGGTGACAGAGCAAGACTCCGTCTCAAAAAAAAAAAAGAAAATTCTATTTGTTTGGATGACCTGTTATACTTATTTCTGATCTCATTGAAATTAACAAATCTTAGGAATCTTGGTCTACAGTTTCTGATAGTTGTTTTTTTTTTTTTTTTGACCAATGAGAACTAAATAAAAAGAATGTGATTTTCACATTTAAATTTATCTTAAACGTATTCCTAGAACAGTAAGCCATCGGTTGAATTGCTACTTGATGCCAGTTTCCTTGAAGATAACCGTTAGGATAAAACATGGTTTCACTGTTAATTCTGTAGAAAGTTACATGTTACTGTTACATTATTCTATTGGTAGACTGTTCCTTTTACTCACCACAGAGATTGTCCAAACACTTGTCGTTATTGGGGCAGGCACCGCAGGTGGCTCCTCTCTTATATGGCCAAGTTGGGTAATTGCCTCTGTAAAGTAGAAGAAGGATGTCCATTAGGAGTTTTTCAGTTTTTTAAAATTGGAATTTACTATGAATCTTTAAATAAATCCAGAAGAATAGTAAAGTACAAAGGTTCAGAGTTGGTCATAGAAGTGAAGACAGGAAGGCAGAAATGGAAGGCTGCTAATATTTGCAGAGTTCATTCTATGTACCTATGTCTATGAACCTGTTTTAATCTGTACCCCATTTAATTGTGACAGCTCTGGGAGGAAGTTATTGTTTGTTTTACAGACGAGACAAAAGATGTAAGATGCCTTTAATCACAATTTATACATTTCAGAGTCAGAGGAAACCTAGATTTAACTCCAGGGCTGTGCTCCCTCTCTTTACCTACCCTCTGGCCTATATGATTACTGCCATTCAAAAAACTGTCCATCTTAGAAAAGCTATGGTGACCCACATTCAATCTTCTCAGTTGGTCAACCCTCCATAATTTTCACTGGATAGGAGCTATTTGGCTGGTGCCTTCCAAAAAAAATAATAATAAATAATGGTATCGGGGAATTTCTAAAGTGCAAATTGTTTTCACATACAAGATGTGATATGAATAATAGCTACTAATTAGTGAGCACTCACCACGTGTTTGTCTTTGTTCTAAACAACCTTGAATGAAATAATCTTCACAAAAACCCTATGAGGAAGTTACTGTTATCTATTTATCCCCATTATATAGCTAGAGGCTGAGTTACAGAGTTTAAGTAATTGACCAAGGTCACAGACTAGAAAGGGAAATAATATCCAAGCATTTTATATCCCTATAAATATCCTCATAGTAGTAATGGTGAGAGGCTACACATTTATCTCAATGAACCTGCCAATGCAATAAATTTTTTTGGAACTCTGCTTTTGGAAAAAGTTCTAAACTTTTTTGTGTAATCGTACCCTTTGGCAGTCTGGTGAAGCCTATGTGCTCTTTCTCAACATAGTTTGTTGTTAAATGCATAAAATACATAGGATTATAATGGAAACCAATTAAATTGAAATAGTTATCAAAATATTTAAAACAAGATTTGTGATAAAGTAATATGTGCTTCTCTATTAAGATCTACCAGGGGGCTATTAGTTTCAAAGTAGTGATGAACATAAACTGTATTTTGAGATCTCTGCAGCAACTGAAATATGGTATGAAAATATGATATTCACAAAGATGATACTGCTAAGTCAAATCACATTGATTGCTAATATGACGGTGGAGTGTTGTCTTCATTCATAATGAAAGGAAATGTTATTTTTAATAGAGGCTAGTGAAAATAAAAATAAAACATTTTTTTTCTAATTGAAGTTTATGACCCTCCTCTCCC